GTCTTTCGTTAATTTGTAAAGGATACCTTTGCTATGTCTAATCAACAGAATTGTTTTATTTTTTAATACTTCAGTATTAAGAAAATCTTGCGCCACCATTTCCTGATCTATAAGATTTCTGCTGAGAAATCTGATGTCAAGTGAATTGGTGCACTGCCATGTGTTATTTAAGTCTTGAAATTCTCCTCGTGTGTGTGTGTGTGTGTGTGTGTGTGTGTGTGCGTGCGTGTGTGTGTGTCCTTCTGGACTTAAAACATGTTGTACTTCTGCCTCTGCCTCCTTCATGCTTAGATTAGAGGTGTGAGCCACATGGCTAGCTTTCTCTTTCTTTCTCACCTGTGAAAACTTGCTTATAAAATGTCTTAGGTTAGAGTTGGTTGATTTAAAGATACCCTTGAACTTCCTGTAACTGGATATTTGTAGCTTTCTCTAGATTTAAAAAATTCTGTCGCTTTTTTTATATATACTTTCTAAACCGTTAGCATGTTCAACTCATTCTCAAATCCCAACCACCTGAATATTTACACTTTTTATAACGTCTCATAAGTTCTCTTCCCTCCTCACTCTACTCTTTTCTCTTACAACTATGTATTTTAAAATAGCTTGTCTTCAAGTTCATTCTTTTTTCTATTCAATCTACCCTGATACTGATATTTTCTATAGACCTGTGGGGTTTTTTTAGTTTATTCAACTCTTTAATGTCTATTTATTTTTGTAATTGCTTCCATCTCTTTAAGTTTTCCTGTTTGAATATTGAGACATTTTTGTGTTTTTCCTTCCATCCTTCCTTCTATCCTTCCTTCCTTCCTTCTTTCCTTCCTTCCTTCCTTTTTTCCTTCCTTCCCTCTTTCTTTCCTTTCTTTCTTCCTCCCCACCCCCTATTTCTCTTTCTTTCTGATAAAGATAGTTTATTCTAGAGCCATTTTGACTGATCATAGCCTGGGAACACAGATTTCGGTTACTGTAAATTCCATGTTAAAAATGGAAGCAATTTCATGGAGATTTTTTATAGTTTTACAGAACAGAGAAAGTCACAAATCAAGGCAAGTTTAAAGTACATTTGTGGGTTTACTAGGGAGGCAGGTACATTGAAATAAGGGATGCTGTTCTATAGGCTCAATATGCTATTTGATGGCATTCTTTGCTTTTGATTTGGTAGAAACTAATTGTCTGCTAAGTTTGTAGGTTCTAAAAGCCATTTATCTTTTGTTACAAGATGTTGGTTCAGATTGGGGAGGTGGGAGGTCAGAAGCTAGCCTAAGATAAGATGGTCAGCCTCTGAACCGGCAGCATACCTCTCCACAGTATTGAAATTCTCATCAGCCCTAAATTCTCATCAGTCCCTAAAAACACAGATTCAGGAATTTTCATCCACAACCAGATGCAGCTTCTCTTCAGAAGCTATTGCTCACAGTTCCTCCTGTCAGCCAAGCATCACATTTTATGCACATGGGTGTGGGGGGGCGTCACATATTACTTACTAAACATTAAGGTTCCCTCCTAGCTAGTAAGCTCATTCCTAGGATCTGGTGTAGATGAGGCTGAGAAGTGTGCAGCTGGTCTTCAGGAAGGGAAGACCAGCTGGAAAAGGCCGTTAGGAAGAAACTCCTTCTAGTCTGATCTAAACTCTTCTAGCTAGCCCCATACTACTTTACAGCTGCTCTGTCATAGAAGCCATCCCTTATGTCGTCATTCACTTCACTTGCCCATATGGTATCCTGGACATTTTAGACAAGTTAATTCGGATATATATATATTTTAAATAACAGTAAAAATATCCTTCTAAAGATTTTTACTGTATCCTGGAAAAAATCTGAAGTATCTTTAAAGAATACTGAAAAATCTCTAAAGACTAACATGTAATGGTGTCTAGAACCTATACTAAAGCAGAACCTATGAAGACGAAAAATATTAGTCAATAGAAACTGACATAAAAATTACAGATAGGCTAGAATTAGTAAGCTACTTAAATATACCGTAGAGTGAGAGAAAGGTCCCGGGATGTCAAAAAGAAGCATAAAATTATATAAAAAATCTAAATCAATCTTTTAGAGATAAAAAGTATTTTCTTGGAGATGATAATTTTGCTAAATGGGTTTAATAAAAAGAATTGATGGTGCTTAAGAACAACATGAACTCAAAAATTTACTGTTTAGGAAGAAACTCTGTGCCATCTAATGCATATGCTGTAAGAATTCTGGAAAAAGAAAGAATGGGGGATAAATAATGTTTGAATAAATGATGCTGAACAGTTTCTCAGTTTGATAAACAATAAAGATCCACAGTTCCAAGAAGCATAATGAACCCCATGCATGAGAAATACAGAGAAAATTGTATAAAGTGCATCATAATTGAATTTCTTTAAGTGCCAATTAGTCAGAGATGTGGGAGATGACATTTTAACACATCAAGTAGCAAAAACAAGAATAAAGCAAATTTTTCCACAGGGGAAAAAAAGCTGGAAGAGAGTAGAAAAGTATGCTTAATTACTGAAAGGAAAACAATCAACATAAAATTTTGCAATCAAAAGAAATCTTGTTCAAAGTGAAGGTGAAATAAATGCTTTACTGGGTATACAAAAGCTAAAGATATGCATGGTGGCATATGTTTACAACATTCCCAACATGTGGAAAAGGGAAGAAAAAGATCACAAACCTGAGGACAGCCTGAGCCATATAGTGATACTCAAAAAGTGGCAACACACACACGCACACACATGCGTGCGCACACACACACACATGCATGCACACATACACCCACCCCTGAAAGAATTCAACCTCCAAATATTCAGATGTCAGAAGAAAAGGAAAACAATACCAAGAGAAATCTCAACATATCCAGAAATTGAAGAAGACCAAAAATGACAAATTCTTATAAGCTCAAAATATTAATTTTTTTAAATCTCTTTAAAAATAATTGATAACTGAGGAAATCCAAAATATTCATCAAAAGATAAATAATTCAGCAAATAGTGGCATACCCAGACAATGAAATATTTCTCAGAAATGGAAATAAATGGCTGCTTGACACAACAAGAAAGAACCTTGACTAATCGTGATGAATAAGGCCAAGCAAAATCAAATAGAAACTGGCTCCAGATTAGCCTATGTAGTACACAATATGACAGTGAATGACTTAGTCAATAGCTAGATTTGTTTTTCTTTGATTTAGTTCCATTTTATTAACATAAATTTCCACGTTGACTATCTGAGCTATGTCTAATTTTTCCAATTATTATCTATTGAAAACATCTATCATGATTTTTTTTAAAAAAAGAACATTTGCTTGGCATAGTGGATAAGCCATAGGCCCTAAAGCAAGGTACCATGTCTGTAGAGAGAGCAGGGGTTTTCCGAATGCTGTATGAGGATGGGGGTATTATTGCTAACCGTATATCTAAAGCAGTTGCCGTGGTCTAATGCTCACTAGGTGGTCAGTGCCAAATGTTGCCTTCATTATTCCTCTTTTTAATGCTGGAGAAGGAGGACTAGAACTCTTGACTTCCTCTTGACAGTGTCCGATACTTCAGAAGATAAAATCTTCCTTTTTAGCTGAGATTTCTGAATTTCTGTTCATGATTAAAGATGCTTTGATTCCAAAATGACTAAATTTCAATGGGCTTCATTGGCTTCTCAAGAACTACTAAATATATTTTCAAAAGTTTAATTCTTTCTCAAATATTGGGCTAACTCTATAATCTGGTGTATATATATATATATATATATATATATATATATATATATATATATATATCAGTTGAGAAAATCAGTTTAGACTCTTTCCTGATGGAAAATATCATTTTTTATGTTCTTCATTTTTATCATGTATAATGTCACAATAATAATATATTTTCTTACAGCTTACAGGGTTATTTGAAAATTAACTAAGATAATGCACAGATATATACACACACAATGCCCACCATTTAAATACTGATAAATGTTAACTCTCATTTTAACAATTGGTAGGAAAAATTCTAGTACAATAAAGTAGTGAGAAATAATTCCTGCCTTGAGCAGCTGCAAAATAATCCAGGAAACACACAAGTTTAGGCTTTAAAACTGTGCAGTACAGAAAGGCTGTAATAGATTGTCAGGTCCACATAGTCAACATTGCATTTCCATACAGCTCTACCTCAAGGATGACCAGAGCAGGAGGGTCCATAGTGCATTCTTTATATTGCAGTACTGTGAAGGTTATTTCAAATGCAATTTATTACTTTTAGGCAAAATAAGAAAATCTGTTTAGTGCTAAAGAAGTTTTATACCATTAAGGTCTACTCCTAATCCAAGTTTTCAAAGTGATATCCAAACACTCACAGACGTTAGATGAACATTTTATACTTAAGTAATTCTGTACTCTGAAACAAGAGTGACAAAGGCAAAAGCTTATACCGTGTCTATTGCAGCCCTTTGTGTAGGACATGGACTCCAAAAACACTACAGAAACTGCATGAAATAGGCAATAACATTCTAGGTTTACAGAGGAAATCACAGAGTGAAGACCTGAGTAGGGCAGAACTAATTAGAGTCGGAACTGGAATGTGCATGAAGGCAGCTTGGCTTCATAGCTGTGTCCTTAAGTACCGCTCTCAAGTGCATAGTATGATGCTGTGTGCTGTATCTTAAACTCCAAGTAAAAGAAATACTTCCAAAACTTACATAAATTGGACCTGTTCAAATAATGTGATAAAATACAATATTAAACCTTATTTTATATTGCCATTCAACAATATATTAAATACATAGTAGGAAAATACAGCACATTTCAAACAATGATAATTAAACAAATTATGAAAGTGTGTCCTACACATAATAAGTGTTTTGATTTTCTATAATCTGAAATTGTAACTAAATCTTAAAATAACAAGAAACTAGTGATATACAAATGGGTTGGAAGAAGAGGAATTCTTGTTCCTCCATTTTTAACCTATGCCTTTGGATTTCCTCATCTGAAGACTTAACTATGATATTTATTCTGCCTTCTTCCTCTTGGTACAGACCATGTAAATGGACACTGCACAAGTCCAACCTCTCAGAGTTGCAGTTCTGGAAAACGTCTTTCCAGTGCTGACGTTTCAAAAGTAAATCGCTGGGGTCCTGGAAGACCACCATTTAGAAAGGCACAGTCAGCTGCTTGCATGGAGATTTCTTTACCAGTTACAACTGAAGGTAGGCTAAACATGTCAATTCTTGTGAGTACAGTTAAAAGCTTGGTTTGTCATGGTAACAGATGCTGGGAGACAAGAAATGGAAGTTACATTTAAAAGATGATAAAAACCACATGACACTGAAAAAAAAAAAAAAACAAGATCTTATTTGACTGTGGCCATAACTCCAATTCTATTCCCCAGTCTACCTCCTTCCTTATCTCTAAAAAAAGAAAAAAAATGACTCCACTATAGGTAGACTATACAAAAGGTGACAATCTGAAAGGCAACCTTAATTACCTCTGCTCTCAAATGAATATAATCAAGTTTAAAAGGACACGTTTTTAAATTCTAAAGTTCAGAATCACAGCCGGGTCTGGTGGCACAGGCCTGTAATCCCAGCTGCTGGGGAGGCTGAGGCAGGAGGATTGCAAGACCTGTCTGTGTTACAGAGAGAGCTCAAAGCCTGTCTGGACCATTTACCAAGACCCTGTCTCAAAGAATAAAGGACAAAAGGTCTGGGGATATAATTCAGTGCTGAGCACTTACCCAGTCTATATGAGATCCAGAATATATCCCCAGGGCCCACAAATAAATAAATAATAAATAAAAATAATAAAGTTTATAATCTTTGTAAATTTTAAAGAAAGTATTGTTTCCTTATTTATAAAATAAGTATGCGGATGGAGAGTCAAATACAAGAGGAAAAGAGACAAAACTTTTTAGAGCAGGAAAGAAAACAGAATCTTGTAAGTTTGCTTTTACTCTTTTGGTAATAAAGATTTTAGGAGACGGGGGAAAATAATATAAATATTTGGCTGTAGTAACTCTATACTATTCTTTAAATCTTCAAATGGCAATCTATTACTGTTCTTCAAAAATGTTTTTAATGAATTCATTACTGTTTTTATTTAATAATATGCCATATTAAATTTTGTCCAGTGAACATAAAAATGACTATATCATATTCTAACAGGTGTTTGTGAGTATCACTATTGAGTAATAATAAATCATGAGTGAAATTTTGGAGACAGATTGGCTACAAATGTTACAATAGGAGCAATGTGTAAGGAATATAAAAGCAAGAGAATAATCATTGGAATGAATGCTGCAGACATTTGAGTCATAGATATTTCTGCCTCTAGTTTGTGCTAGAAAATAATTTAGTTATAATTCTGTCTTTAAATTTGTAAAATATATAGGTGATAATCTAACTTCTGTCTCATCTCTAAACTTTACAAGCTATTTTTTTATAAATTTGGTAGAGATACAGAGAAATTAGGGATATTGCATTCTCTTCCTTCTAAATATATTTTGAAGAACTTATATTTCATCTGGTTCTATGAAAATTAAAAAGGTACACTGAGATCTGTCAAGAGGGAAAAGGTGAGTGAAGTAGAAAAACTAGGAGCCTGTCCTTGAGCAATTAAAGGCAGTGAAACTATATTTCCGTTTCGCAGATGGGGGAATTTGTGCTTGTTGGAGGGTGCACATGTGCAGGTGTTGATGAAGCAAGAGCACACAAAACCATGCTGCTGTTTCTTTTCTAAGCAGGCTGAAGCCTTTTCGGGAAATCTGGCATTAACAGGATGGCACAGTCTGTTGTCCTTTGGTGTTAGTTAAACCTGGATTTGGATTACAGGCAGGCAGCTCAAAACAAGTCTACAGAAATCGCATTCACATATTTGGACTTACGTTAAAACTTCTATTTTTATAGCTTCACTTGCATACAAGTTTGTCACAGAACAATTATGATACAGATTGGTCTTTTCATGGTACTGTTGGTAAGTTTGACTTGCCAAGGATTATTAGTATGTTTTCTATGATCAAAAGATGGGAAGGAAAAACAACTACAGAAAACGTTATAATCTTGACTATTTAGATTTAAGGGTTTTTTTTCCTCCTGATTAGAATTTTAACTGATCTTTCAGGAAATGGAAAAAAGAAAAGTGGTGTACTAGAACTCAGGAGACTGGATTTTTGGTTTCAATTCTGCCTAAGTTTATGATAGCACATAAGATTTCAGACTCTACTCCTTCAAAATGAACTGGTACCTTGGGGAAGATACCCTTCACGCCAGTAAACAAAGAATAAAATCTTTCTTTCTCTCATAATTATGGTTTTCAGGTATTAAATTTGACTTGTTTTATAGATTCACTAATGCTTAATTTTGCTTTTTAAACCTTCATAGAAGCCAGAGAGAATTCCTATAACCGCTCCAGGAGCTCTAGCATCTCCAGTATTGACAAAGACTCCAAAGAAGCAGTTACAGCTTTATACTTCATGGAATCCTTTGCACGGAAGAACGACTCCACCGTTTCGCCTTGTCTGTTTGTTGGAACTAGTCTGGGAATGGTATTACTCATCTCTCTGAACCTACCATCATCAGACGAACAAAGGTTTACAGAGCCAGTGATGGTATTGCCAAGTGGTAAGAGTTTTGACTCACTCATTCCCTTGCTGATACTTATTCAACTTTAGATATCAAGAATCGATAATATGCACTGATTCTGGGTGAAGGTGAGGAGTATAAGCTTCATATGTAATATGGACTATCGAGAACTTCATATACTCTTCCAATATTTGCCACACTGTCGTTTACCAGTTCTCAGGGTCAGAGTACAGTTGAGTTGTTTCTATGAATGGAATCCAGAAAGGCCAATCTAAACTCTGCTTTCAGAAATAAGCTCCTTAAAAGTGCTGAGATAAACCTTACTGCACAAGTTCAATTTATTTTTAATAACTTGGCATTTTTCTAAAGTTCTTTGTCAGGCCAGAACCTACAAGTATTTTTACATCATTCTTGAAATCAGAATAATTAAAGTAGAAAAAATCTGACCTAAGGTGAATATTTAAAGTCTTCCTTGTCTTTTCATGATAGATTCTCAAGAATTCAACTTAGGAACATGTTCTACTCTCCCTGAATTATCACTTTTATTTCTTTTTTTTTAAAGTCTATGTGATTTCTTTTGACATTCCTTTGAATATTTTTAATAGATTCTAATCATTAGTTTTACTCCCTCTTTCCTAAATATAATAAATATTTTAGGTATATTAAGCTAAAATTTTTTATGAATATATAGGATAAGAGATTTTTTTAAATAGTCCATATAGCATGGCAGGTTAGAGAGAACTGGGTTTTTGTATTAACTTGTGATACATAGATATGTGTAGATGGCAGGCAGAATAGTCAGCTCTATGAGTGTAACAAATTTAGAAACCCCTTGTCTCTAAACTACTAAAAACAAACACTTTGTTTTGAACCAATATGGCATAGAGAAAAATACTTTTAAAGCATTCCTAATTGTAAGGAAATATGAATTCTTTTTTATTCTGCTGAAGTTAGAGTCAGATCAGCGAGGTCAGAATGAATCACCAATTCAAATCTATTCTTTAACTGAATGATGATATATATTGGATGTCCTATAGGTGCCAGGCATTCTGCAAGGTTCCCTGCAGGCTCTACAACAGGCAGGGGAAAAACAAACAGGATGCAGTAATAATGAAACATGGCCTGGTTTTATTGTAACTGGTTCTGGACCAGGACTTCTGGAGTTTGGCCCTTGCTATTTTATTTTAGCATTATTTTATTTACATTTATTCATTATTTTACTGTAACACAGCATAATTTGGGGAGAAAAAGTATTCAGATAACAACTCAGTCCCAAGTGCTTAACAAATACAGCCTACTAATACAAGCTATTAATGGTAAGAGAAATGAAGGAAGAGATATATGGGTGCTGTATATGATCTGATCTATTTTCTGTAAGCATAATACTGCTCTTTAAAATTTATTAATTAAAAAGAAGAAGACTATGGTCCTAGGTTCATGTTTGTTTCATAATTAGCCATTAAAATAAAAAAAAGAATAACTGGAAGCCAGCTTTCTAGCAGTAAATGGAGAAAAGGGTGTGGAATTTCCTAAGGAAGAAAGATGACAAAAATATCAGACTGAGGTTGGAGACAGGCCCTTGACGGACTCTGCGATTGTTGTTGTTCTGTGATTGATGACTGTTCCTCATCTATTTCCATAGTCATTCTCCGTTCTACACCCCATTCAGTTCTAAACACCCTTCATGGTATAATTACCATAATACAGTACTGCACAGCACATCTCTATAACTTACCTTACATAATTTAAATGCTATATTAATTTATTAGCAAGTCCTCATTACCTTTTTTATCATTCATAGATACCATCAGCTTATTCTTAGCACATATGACTTTAACTGTTTTGAATGCCTCATATTAGTAAAATCACTCAGAATTTACCTATTTGTGGCTGGCTTATTTCACTAAATGTAATACCATCAATGCCTTTTAATATTAGAGAGCTGCTGTCTTTTAAGAATAAACAATATTGCAATTGCATATATGTAGCACAAATAATAAAAACCCAGAAACATAAATTGGGGATCAACCTAAAACACATAAATGCAAAATAGTCAAGCCGCTAGAGAAGTCTTCATCCCTACCAGAACTGGGCAACCACAGGTAAGCAGACTAAGCCTCCTTCTCCTCCCATTTTATATTCCCTCTAGTGCTAGGGTTAAAGGTGTGTGACTTCCTAGGACTTGGATTAAAGGTGTGAGCCACCAACACCTACATTTGTTTCTGCATTGACCTTGTGTAGCCCAGGGTGGCCTTGAACTCCCAGAGATTCATCTAACTCTGTCTCCCAAATCCTGGGTCTAAAAGTGTATGTCTCCATTGCCTGACCTCTAGCGGCTTTAGCTTTGTCTTTGATCTTCAGGCAAGATTTGTATATCAAAATACAAATGATATACCACTACACATCTATATATCACCTTTTATAATCCATTCATCTGCTGAAGACTTAGTTGTTTCCACATCTCCACTATTGTGAGTAGCACTGCATAGGAGTACGTGTATCTTCATGGTCCTGGGTTATAACCCCAGAGCTATATTGCTTGATTATATATTAGTTCCATTTTTAGTTTTTTTTAATCTTTATACCTGTCCATGTCTATTTACTGCTCTAAATGGCAATGGAAACTTGGATTGTGGTGCTATTTCATTTCTATTTTAATAAATAAAGTTTGCCTGAAAATCAGAGAGTAGAATACCCCCACTGGTCAGCCTTACAGACCAAGCAGTGGTGACACACACCTTTAATCCCAGTAGCCACACTAGTTGTCATAGGAACTGGGTGGTAGTGATGCATGCCTTTAATCCCACACCTACAGAGGAACATAAGATGGGAGGAGACAGCTATCAAAAATAGACTTATTCTGAGATTCCTCGAGGCAGGATCACTATTTCAGACTGAAGTAGAGGTTATAGCCAGTGACTGGCTGTTTTGCTTCTCTGACATTCAGGTTGAACCCCAATATCTGTTTCTGAATTTTTATTAATTCTGCTAAATTTGGCATCCAACATGGGACAGTAGAGCATGAGATTCTTAATCTCAGCGTTGTGGGTTCGAGCCCCATGTTGCCAAAAGTAGCAAAAATAATGAAAACCCAGAGACAGATCTTGGGGTTCAACCTGAAGATCAGAAAAGCAAAACAACCAAGTCACTAGAGAGCTCTTACTTCTAAGATAGGAGAATGAAGCCTAAAAATGAGTCAGACTCAAGTCTCATGCAATAGTTAACTTTCTTCAGAGTATCAGACACTTTATACCCTGAGGGTTAAGAACGGTTCCCTGCATAAAGTTCTCAGGAGTTCAAGCTGTATATACTCACAAGGACAAATTGAATGTGGCAAAAACATGTTTTTCCATAGAGGCCTACAAATAATTAACAGTAGCCAGATGGAATAAATAATCAGAAGTAAACTCATTCATATGTGCTATGCTCAGGAGAGGCAAATAAAGCACATACTGCGAACAAATTCCAAGTTTTTGTAGAAACTGAGTTCACACGACTCTTGTCTTGTTTCCCTGGCATTTTCTCACAAGCACTTAGAATTCTCCTCACAATACTCCTTTCTTGGACTTTGTTCTGACACGTGTCCCTTGCACTATTAAGCATGTGTGGATATACCAACAGTGTATGTTTTAGTTTCTCTACATAATGTCATTATTGTTATCTTTTGATGATTTTAAAATGGTTATCCTAACAGATATGAGGTTGTACCTCACCTTGGTTGTGTTATCCTGCTATTCCAACAAACCAGCCAACCTAAAGGAAATACAACACTGGAAATATAAGTGCACCAAATCTTGAGTCAATAGAAAGTATGAACAGATCCAGAACTAGTAAGGGGTTGGATCACTAACTAAAAGGGATACTATTAAAAATAAAATCCCACTTTCCTTTTTTTAAGGGATGTTTTAACATAGATAGATACCCTTGCTAGTCTTAGCAACAAATTCTTATCCGTAATATGGAAGTTTGAAGTACGTTCAATCATTGAATTGGAGAACTGGGAAGCACATGCATACTTTGTCTCTTTCCACACTTCACTTTTGTTTGTATCAGAATCATTTGAAGGTATTGCTGTGATAGTGATCGAAGGACTCCACACCAGACTCTCTGGTTCAGTAGGTCTAAGATAGTCTGAGGATTTACACTTTGAGCAAGTCCTTATGTGATGCTAATCTAACAAATTGACTATTGCAGGTCCTGATTGTGTATTAATATATTTCAGTTTCTTTATTAACAATTAATAAAATGAAGCCCAGAGAGGATAAATAGCATGCTTCAAACAAGCTAGAGAGAGGAATAGATTTGAAGCTGAGTTTCTTAAACCCCTGCTCACTACACTTTGTATCTGATCACATTGTATTTTTTCTCAGTTCTAATATTGTTGTGTTGAATTGCTGTATTAGAAACTACAATCTGTAGCTGACCTCCCAGTCCTGAGTCAGTAAACTGACCTGGCTAAATCCTGTTTTAAAAATCCACAGAACCTTAGAAATCATCCCTAAGGAAATTAATCAGAGATGCAAAGATTAGGCAACCTAACCTAAAATCATGTTAAATGAGATTGCATGGAATCAAAGACCTTAACATAGAACCTGGAACTTTGAAACTACTTTTAAAAAGACATAGGAGAAGAAATCGCTTCAAGATTTAATTACGGGCAATGATTCTCCAAGTAGAACCCAAATGATCAATAAAAATGGGGAAAATTGGCAAATTGGATTGTATCAAGTTAAAAGGGTTCTTCACAGCAAAATAGAGAATAGAAACAATGAATGGGAGAAAATTTTGCTAGCTGTTCAACAAGGAGCTAATAACCAAAGTACATAAAGAACTAAAAATAATACCAAAAGTAAATAATTCAGTCAGTAAATGGACAAACAAATAGAATACTTTTCTCTTTTGATATATTATTAGCATATGTTAATTATACAAAGTAGCATAATTACATATAGATAGTTATTTGCCATACCATGGGGAAAACAGGTGAATAATCCTTTTTCTGAATCAAGATACATAAACTTGACTAAGAGTTGAAAGCAGTTAATTTAAAAACATAAAACTTTTAAATTATTTTATTAGAGGCCAAAAGTGATAAAGTTTTGAATTCCACAAGCCCTGATTCTATCCCTAGTTATTTTTAAAAAAAATAACTAGTAGTTATTTGTAGTAGGAAGGCTGTTAGTTCGTTCCCGGCTGCTCAGTCCTGAAATAATCACACAGAAACTCTATTATTTAAATTGCTTGGCCAATCACTTAAGTGTGTTGCTAGATAGCTTTTATATTTTTGGTTAACCCATTTCTATTAATCTGTGCATCATCATGAGGTCGTCGCCTACTGGCAAAGTTTCAGCTGGCGGATCCAGTGCAGGCATCTGTTCCTGGCATCAGCTACATGGCTTCTTGCTGACTCTGCCTTCTTTCTCCCAGCATTCAGTTTAGTTTTCCCACCTAGCTCTATTCTACCCTGTTTATAGGCCCAAAGCAGCTTCTTTATTAACCGTTGATATTCACAGCAGAACTTCTTTGTCACGCCCTTAAAAGTGATGTCGCTCCAGGCATAGTGGCACGTGTCTTTAATCTCAGCACTCAAAGGCAGAGGCAGGTTGATATTAAGTTTGAGGCCAGTCTGGTCTACAGAGTGAGTTCAAGAACAACCAAGGCTACACAGAGAAATCCTGTCTGAAATCAATCAATCAATCAAAATAAATAAAGTTGAAATCATTTTTTGATCTTTTAGCTGAGATCAAAGATCAAGTACAAAACTGGTGGCATGCCATAACTCTGCATGCTGAGATCACATAATATTTATTGAGGGCTTAATTTCAGAAAAATTAAGAAGCATTTTCTAGCAAACAAGCATCAAAAAGGAAATTGGAAACAGATAGTACACTTTTTTTAATAGTTTAACTCACTTAAAAAAATAAAGTTATACACATACTAAAACTTTGTCTTTTAAACTTTCATGGGTTTTAATGGAACTATATAGCATAATGAAAAAAATCCTGTGTATAAACATGTGTGCAAGCTTGAGCCCTATTCCAACATGAACATAGGAGATGGTCATGAAATCCCACCCTGGCCTGTTGGCACTTGCTATCTGCTAGGAGATTCAGGTTTCTCTAAGAGTTTAGCCCCTGCTTAGTTGAAAGACTCTAGTAGAAGACCAGATGTTTAAAGATTAAAGACTATTTGCATAACAAAAAAATCCTGTGTATATGTTTTCAGGGGTGACCACTCTGAATTGAACAACCCAGTAAGGGAGAGGAGAACTCTTCTTCTCCCAGCATAGCTGCCTTTGGTGCTTGATTAGAATTGGGAAAAGGGGAGGGGTTCGCTGTAAGTGCTAGAGGAAGAAAAGGGAGGGGGAAAGTGACATAATTATATTTCAATTAAAAACATGTTAAACAAAGGATAATAAAAGACATTTTGAATTAAAAAAAGAATATTGGGTTTTGAAAGAGGAAACCTGAGTCTAATTCAGGCTTAATAGTAACTGTGACCAAGGCTGCAGTCCAAGCTGTATGGCCTGTCCCTAGTGTGGTCATCCTTCCAGACCTGTTTTCTCGGTAATATAGTAAACAAGTTTGGCAAACAATAATTTAAACTAAATTTAGACCTAAATATTTTAGCGCAAGTTGTTACAGCAGATTAACTCACAAACATGCTGTTTTTGTATATTACAAATTACAAGCCTATTCCTGTAAACTGTCGTGGCGTGAAATGTTTACTGCCCATCAGTGAATAAGAGACGGCTGCTTTACAAGGGCTCTCACATGGGAGTGATATGATTTGTTTTATAGGTACACTCCTCTCACTGAAAGGAGCTGTGCTAACATTTTCCTGCATGGACAGAACTGGCAGCTTAATGCAGCCTCCACATGAAGTATGGAGGGATCCGAACAACGCAGATGAAAATGAGAAAACGTGGAAGCGGAAATTGGTTATGAACTACTCCAGTGCATCCCAAGAAACAGGCGACCATCAGTATGCAATAATCTGCTCAGAGAAACAAGCCAAAGTCTTCTCACTGCCATCTCAGACCTGCCTTTATGTTCACAACATCACAGAGGCCTCTTTCATACTGCAAGCAGAGGTGGTGGTCATGTGTAACAGTGCCTGCTTGGCCTGCTTTTGTGCAAACGGGCATATCATGATAATGAGGTACTTGACATATTTATTGTTAGCTGATAGTTATAACAATACTAGCAAGGAATAATGATGATAAGTATATTCATACTGTTGAAGAGAAGTAACCTGATAGATGTTCATTGTGTTTGTGAATGTTCTGTTGTTCAACAATGTGAAAAGAGGTTTGTGGCTTGGGTGTAGAGAGAGCTGATTCTGGTTTTGGTTTTGTTTCCTAAAAAATACCAATAATATAATAATATATACATATATAAATTTTGACATAATGTATATAAATATATATTATATAGTTAACATCAAAGAATCCAAGGAAGGAATGATTCCCAACCATTCATGTGTCAATTTAACAAGCAGGTACTGGGAAAATGTTAGGCACTGGATTCAGAAGCTATATGGAAGTAAAATTATCTGTTGCTTTCACTATTATATAAGAAATTTACACAGAGAATTTCACTTGATTCTCAAAGCTTTTAAAGGACATTTACAAGTATTATTTTCATCTTTCGTTTTACATATTAGAAATTAAAGTAAAATAATTTGTTTGAAGACATAAAGTATAGGAAAAAGTGAAGTCAACAGTCACCGGTAAACTAAAAGCCATGAGACACATTAAATAAGATATAAAAAGTATTACCTAATGAGTTTATGGATTCAACAATGCTGTGGTTGGTCATCGGATGAATAAGCTACAAGAAAATGAAATTTATTCAATATACTATAGAAGTGACTGTCATTCTTGTCAATATCTCACCTTGTTGCAAATCATTTAAAAGGAGATAAAATTAGCAACATATGAAAATATACAAATAATTAGAAAACAGAAAATGGAATTGCCAGTAGAGGATATATAAGTTGAATTTTCTTTTGACAAACTAAGTCCCCAAAGTTTAAAAGCATTGAATCACTAAATGTATAATAGAAAAAAGTAACTTGGAGAGGTGGGTTGACATACATGTTTGAGGACCATGAGTGATGAACTAAATTTGTAAGAAAGGGGACTTGAAAGCAGGTAGTTGGCCTCCTCTGGGTGTGACTAGAGACACTTAAGGACTCTAGTGCTGCAAGGAAAGTTATCTACAAAGCAAGGAGGGAGCAGGGCTGAAGGAGAAACTTGCTGCATGCAACGCTGATTTCTTATACGAGGTAAAGAAGATCACTAACTCCCAGGATTTAGGGGAATTTGTATTACAGTAATGCTATTAGCAGGTAAAGAAGTGAGAGGAAGTTGAAAACACTGAGAATAAGGAGTTTGAGAATGGATTAAAAATAAGTTTGCTGATAAGATCTCCAGTCGAAACTTCTGAAGCAAAGGAGAGAGGTAAAAGTTGTTTGCAGATGGAAGTAATTTAATACCGTGGTGATCGTTCATCTAGCCTGTTTCCTTTCAGTGACCTTATGTTTACTATAAGAAAACACCAACAAGGTGTCTGATTTCTTCATGGAAAAAAATGGCAACTATTTGAAACAAAAGGATTTTGTCCAACAGAATCATAAATCTTTCACTGTTTCTGTAATTTAACAAAAGAGGCACATTTGTTCTGTTGAGTAATGTTTGCTGCTGGTACAAGGCCAGTTTGATCTTCTCATAAAAAATGCATTATTGGTGGTGGGGGAAGATAGCAACAGAATAAAAAGTCACTGTTCTATCTAAAAAAAAATTTAAAAAAAAAAAAGTTTGACTTTTAAGGTGCTACCAAGTCATCCAGCAGATGCTTAACAGCAATTTAAGGTCTGGTCTCTTGGGAAAATGCAGGCTTGAGCATCATCTAAGAAAACTGATAGCAAACAAAGCCATTAAGAGATCCTACATAAAGAAATGAAAAGCAGACTGTGCCAGGGATAGAAGCTTGGGACCAGTCTCTACATTTATGTACCGGAGGAAAGAAACTCCAAAGAAGGAGGTTATGAAGGCATCAGAGAAATAAGAAAAGGCCCTGAACAGCACAACCTTCTATAATAAAAAGGAGGTGGTCGAGAGGTAGCACATACAGCAGAAAAGTCAAAGAATTAGCACACCAGGAACAGAACTGAAAACTGGTCATGTTGAAGCATGCCTAGAATTCCAGCAGTGAAGGAAGGAGGTTCCAAAATTCAAGGTAATTCTCTGCTACATAGTAAATTGGAGGCCAGACTGGGTGTGTAAAACCATTCAGAAAGCAAGTGTTAGAAGCATGGCGATGCTGGGAGCTAGTTTTCAGGGGGCAAGAATAGAGAGTAGTGCAGTACGAAGTTGGAAAATGATGACAAATCAGTCTGATTTTGTACAGACTGCAAGCCAAGATTTAAATGATTTAAAAAGCCAGAGAATATGGTTGATGGGAATTATATGAAATCAAGTGTTTGAAAAGAGCATGTCTTGTGCCACAGCCACACCCATCATTTATATGTTGGCAATGGCTACTTTTGCACTACAAAGAGAACTGAACAACTGTGAAGGAACTGCTGCAGGCCCAAGCCTAAGACCTTTACAGTCTGATCCCATAGCCCACCATAGCTTACTCTTTCAGAAAATGTTGTGTAAATAGAAAGAAGAGAAGTAGAAAAGTTGCTCAAGAGTAAGACCAGATTTTCATGGTATTTTGTTTCATTATTTCTAACATGAAGAGTTCTATAATTAGTGAGGGAAAAACTTTTGGGGAAAAGGCAATCATGGCTTCCTTATTCTCATAGATTTCTGATTCTTTCTCAAACTATTTTCAGAGATTTCCAATGAAGACCACTCCATCCTTTTTGTAAATAATTTAACCCATAGACTTGCTTCAGTTATGGGGGATGTGTAGTGTGTGTGTGTGTGTGTGTGTGTGTGTGTGTGTGTGTGATCAATTACAAGGAATGTGTATTTATAGGTGTGTGTGATGTCCTCTCAGCTTGTTACTCAAGATTTATATTAAGCCACTATATATCGTTCATATTTTAGATAGTCTTGACTACTAAGTCTTTGAAATCCAACGTGCAGGTCGCACTTTCAGCAGACCTCAGTGACTATCCAAGGATCGTCTACTTGCTCAATCAAAACTAGTCATGTGACTAGGTGGATAAAATACCAGGCAGCATGGTGCTAGAACATCAATAAATGCTTATTCCAATAAGATGGATTTCAGTATCCATATTATATAGTAAAATTTTGGGTCTCAGAATATAGTTACAAAATATTTTTTAAAAGAAAAATGGTACCTTCTGGGATGCTATCTGTATTCTAGGATAAATTAAACCCACTGTACTTGAAGAATTAGCATAGTTCCCAAGTCTGAGGATTAAACCAGAGAAGTTCTCTCTGCCTTTGACTTCAAGGAATGATGGGAAAACTGTAGAGTTGCTTTTCAATAGTGATTTATAAATTAGCTTTTACCACATTATCCAAAAGGACATTTCTAGGGCTATCTTATCAAAATTATAGCTGCAGGATTAGGTTAGGAAGTAACTACAGATGTAGTCTTTCCTATGTATAGACGCTAATCTGTTACTTATTACAGTTCATTCCCTTAAGCTTTGGCCATGTTTATTTACTAGTCGTGTTCAATACAGATGCCCTAAGAGACAGGAAGGTTTCACTTTCTATGAAGAGGGACTAAGGGATGGAGCTCTATGTCCAGGCACACTGGACTGACCCCACACATGTCTGTTTGTACATAAGATCAAATACTAAGAAGTTGTGTTTAGAGAGACCATAGGCCTCTACGTAGGGACACTGGCAAAACATTTGTATTGGCTAAGATAGAACTGTGCTCAAATTTGTATGTGTACATGTGATTATATATAAAAGTCTACTTATTACTAATCTTTAAAGATGCTATAAAGAAAAAGCATAAAATGATGAGTTTGTTATTAAATAAATAATTATTAAATATTATTTTTATTAAAGTAAATACATCAAAGAAAATACGAGATGTAGATTTACTAACTGTTTTTCTATTCAGCTTACCTAGCCTTCGCCCAATGTTGGATGTAAATTATTTGCCACTGACAGACATGAGGATAGCACGGACATTTTGTTTTACTAATGAAGGCCAAGCATTATACCTTGTCTCTCCTACTGAAATTCAACGGTTAACATATAGCCAAGAAATGTGTGATAATATTCAGGTAGGTAAAGTTCCTTAGTAAATATAAATAAATGTGAGATTTGGGGAGAGGAACTAAGAGGAGAGAGGTATGGGGAAATTGTGGTCAGGATATAAAGTAAATCAATAAATTTATTTTTAGAAAATAAAAAATAATTAAAACAATAAAAATTAAAATATTAAATAGATAAATAGATGTGAGTGTTAAGTGAGGGAAATAATGAAATAGACATCTATAAAGTGTCATAGGGCCAGACAATAAATACACCTTTCCTAGAAGATGTTTTGAATATATATTCTTCAATGTGATTCAACTTCTAGTATGGTTCTGAGTACACTCAGAAGTAATAAGAGAATCATGATTATGATGAATGATAATTATGATCATTTACAGTAGTAGGTGAACTGAAATGTATTTATTTTATTCTAGGGAGCTTTGTTTTAATCACAGTTTTATAAGTTTCTTGTACATACAGTTGGCTTTCATAACGACAGGTTTATGCAAGTGTATTGTGTACTCTGATTAGATTCATTCTTGCATATATTTCCTCCCACCCACCCTTCCTATTATTCTGTTTCTCCGAGAGTCTAGGTTTTACATACATGGAGTGTGTATTGTGTGCGTGTGCAATTTTATATATTTGTGTAAGATATAGGACCCACAAATGGAAAAGAACATGTATTATTTGTTGTTCTTAATCTGATTTATTCCACTTAACATAATAATCGCCAGTTGCATCAATTTTCCTGAAAACAGAATTTCATTCTTTTTTAATTTTTTAAGGTTTATTTATTGTTATTTCATTTGTGTAGATATTTTGCCTGTATCTTTGTTTTACATCATGTATGTGCCTGGTGCCTATGGAGGCCAGGAAACCATGTCATATCATCTGAACCCCCTGTTATACACAGCTCTGAGGAACTAGGAGTCAAACCAGGGTTCTCTTAAAGAGCAGCCAGTGTTCTTAACTGCTGACCCATTTCCCAATCCCAATTATTTTATTCTTTATGACTGAATAAAATTCAACTTGTGATCATACCACATTTTTCTCTATTCATTCTTCTGTTAATGGACACCTACACTTATTATTTAACTTGCCTGTTACAAATACTATTGCAAAAAAATTACAAAGTTGTGCTAGTATCACTGTGGTATGTTAAAGTTCTTTGGATCATACTATAACTGCATCCTATGTTCTTTTTTTTTTTTTGAGGAATCTCCATGAGCATACTGATTTCCATAGCAGACAGACTAATTTGTATTCTCACATATGGCAGTATATAAGTTCCCTTTTTTTTTCATCCTTGCAAGAGTTGGTTATTTATTTTCCTGATGGTTGCCAGTCTCACTAGAGTGACATGGCATCTTGATATAGTTTTAATTTGCATTACCTAATGACTAGGCATATTGATTATTTTTCCATATGATTACTGGGCATTTGTCCCATCATTTGATTACTGTGTTTATTTTGTTAGCTCATTTGATAACTGAATTGTTTGATTTTCTGGTATTTTTGGTTTGTTTGGGTTTTAGTTACTTATACATTCTACATATTAATCTTTTGTCTGCTATAAATTAGCAAATATGTTTCCCATTCTATAGTCTACTTACTCATTTTTTCTTTGTTGTAAAGTACACTAATTTAATAAACCTCATTTGCAAATTCTTGATTTTGCTTCTTTAATTATTTCCATTCTTTTCAGAAAGTCCTTACATATGCCCATAATTTGAAATATTTTCTCAAAAGAATTTCAAAGTTCTAGGTCTCACATTAAGATTTAATCAATTTTAATTGATTTTAATCAGGGTGAGAGACATGGATCTATTTTCATTTCTATCAGAAGCTATCCAGTATTCCCAGCACCATTTATTAAAGAAATTGTCTCTTCCCCAAAATGTTTTTGCACTCTTTGTAAAAAGTCACATCAGTGTAGCTGAATGGATTTGTTTCTAGCCCTCTGTTCTGCTATATTGATCTACATGTCTGTTCTCATGCTAGTGTGGATTTCAGTGTCCCAGACCCTGATGCAGCCATACCCGTGTTGTATTTACAGTCCCAGCTGTCTAGTCTCATCTTATTAGGGAAGCGCTGCCTGTCTACCAGCGCTCACAGTCTTAGCGTATCTCCAGTGAGTTTCAGTTCATGTCAGTGACCACATGATGCCCACATGGTTCTGTGGTTCTCTGGGTCTTGTCTTAATCAGTGGACTTGGTGTTTGGAGATAAGAGTTGTGCTGAATCTTCAGCAGAGTGGTTGAGTGCAGGCTCCCTTCTTGCCCCAGAGACTTAGGAGTGGCATAGGATAGTGGCATTAGGTGATTTCCTAGGGTCTGTTCCATGCAGCTCATGCCTGGACTGTCTAAAATTTTGTTTTTCTCCTTTACTCGTGAACTCTGAGGAGATAATGTCAGAACTGTGTACCAAGCAACAACCACATAGAAAAGACATGGAAAGGGGTATCTTCATGATGTTCATATCACAGTGTTATTTTTCAATCTATTAATTTCATCTTAGTTGCTCTAATACTCTTTTCTTAATTGGTACAGGACATGTTAGGCGATTTGTTTACTCCCATAGAGACACCGGAAGCTCAAAATAGAGGCTTTCTCAAGGGACTGTTTGGTGGAAGTGGACAGACATTTGACAGAGAGGAGCTCTGTGAGTAAATTTCTTATTATAAAAACCCATCACAAACTAGAAAACCTGTGTGTGTGTGTGTGTGTGTGTGTGTATGTGTGTGTGTGTGTGTGTATTACAAATTCTAGACCAAGGTGGTTTTGTTTCTATATTAAAGTTTGAATATTATTTTTTTGTATTTTGAAATTATTATGTTTAGTAAACATGGATGAAATTAGTTACTATATTATGAAATAATTAATCACAAATTATATATATTTCAATGTGCATTATGTATTATATATGCAATATATAATATACAATTATATTTGTATTATTTCAATATATATTTCAAATAAATAATGAGCAAGCTAAAAAGCATCCCAGTTGTAGATAGGCCCTAGTTTCATGAGCAGTTGGCAGTATTTGTCTTTTTTAATTCTGAAAAATCATTTTAGTCTACTTTCCTATTACCACTGCTAGAAAATGGATTCTTCTTCATTCACATGCCAAGTGTATCTATGCCATAGGAAAAAAACTAGTTTGCAAATCTACCAGTGAAACTCTTATGAACAGTAATCAAAAAGCAATAGGAGACACAAAAAAAAACATTTTCAGAGGACAGACAAGAATAAAATTTCAGACAGTGCCACCTCCATTTAGTTTTGCATATCAAAACTCCCTTTGTTTTGAATTTATAACTGTGCAAAAAGACATAGGTACCACCCTATAGTTTAAATTATTTTAGTCAATAAAGGGGATAGTGTAGTACATGTGGCAACAGAGGACTCCACAAATATCATGCAAGAGGCCAGAGTAGAGAAGGGGCCACATATTATGATTCCATTCATATAAGTTGTCCAGAATAGGCAAACTCACGGGTACTAAACGTTAATCAGTAGGTGCCTGAAGCTGGGGAAAGGAGATAATGGGGAGTGATTGCTCATGAGTTTGGGGGTCTTTTACATTATGAAACTGTTCTACAATCAGATAGTAGTTAGAGTTATACAACTTTATGAGACACTAAAAACCAGTGACTTACTTACATGTTTTGCTAAGAGTTGCTTTTATGGAATGTGAACTAAATATCAATGAGGCTTTTATTTTCTGAAGTCTAGGTTCTTTTCCAATGTGACATCCTGAAAACATTCACTAAATTTCTGACTTAGTGAGTGCCAGACTGAATAAAAGACACCGTCTTAAAAAACAAGATGTGACCAGCAAGACGGCTCAACACTTGCCACCAAACCTAATGATTTGAGTTTGTGGCATGAACTAAGCCCACTTCCATAATGCACCCACACATACACACATGTGTGTACACCTGCGTGTGTCATAATCTTTCAATCAATTTTTTAGAAAAAAAAATGAAGGTGGATAGCACCTGAGGTTAACCTCCTACTTCCACATACGGGATTACACATGTGCATATACACACAAACACATGAACACATACATACATTGAAAGTTCAGTCTCATATACACACCACATATGCACAGACATATGATAACAATATCTCCCAGTTTCTCCCTTCGGCATTTTTCTTAAGTGTTCATATCTTTAACACATACACATATATGTGACAAGACAACCTTTGAGTGAAAATTATGATAGTAATAGAAATTTATAAAAGTACTTTTTTGCCTTCGAGGCCATTTGAATATGTATTACTGACATATTTTAATTTTCTATGGCTTAAATTCTCAGTTGGGGAAGCTACAGCCGGGAAAGCATCCCGCAGCCTTGCACAGCACATTCCCGGACCAGGTAGTATAGAAGGGATGAAAGGCGCGGCCGGAGGGGTGATGGGAGAGCTGACCCGAGCCCGGATTGCACTTGATGAGCGAGGCCAGAGGCTGGGTGAGCTGGAAGAGAAGACCGCAGGCATGATGACCAGCGCAGAAGCGTTTTCCAAGCATGCACACGAGGTAACTGCCCACGGAAATGCATGCGTCTTCACAGTGCCCACACTGGAAACATCCCAGTCCGGTAGAAGGCAGCCTAGGCAGAGGCACCATGTGACCTGAATCCCTGAAGTACTATAGCCCTCTACTCAGAGAGATAGAAAGAAATCTACATTAAGTTGAGACTCTTTTCATTTGGGAAATAGCATATTGATCCATTCTGATACATTAGGTCTGTGTTTTGTATCACCTGCTTGACAGGTGCACAGAGAGATTCTATGAGTTCCCCAAAATGGGTAAGGGCCTGTAGAGGCTAGAATTCATATCTTTCGTCTCGTCTGTCATTAAACACTGTTTCCCATCCACTGAGTGTGCACAGCTTAAGTATTTGATTTGAGCCCGTCTCACATGGACTTTGTCCACAAAGTAAGAGGTCATGCAGTTCTATTACATTCTGAGACTTAACTGAATTTCCATGATTAACTCAGTATTGATTTGCTGACTAGCATTTTAAAGATGACATCTTTAGATTGCTGTCTTTTTCTTTCCAGTTAATGCTGAAATACAAGGATAAGAAATGGTACCAGTTCTAACCATCAAAAGAAGTTGTGACTGCTTTGAGAATCCATTATTCAGGGAAACCAAATTTATTCCCAGCATCACTATTCAACTGCTAGAAACCAGTTTCTTCTACAAAATGTTCCATTATAGTCCATCCGAAGTTATCATACGGAGGCGTATCAAAGGCAAAGCCGCTGTACACCTTGAAAGCTGGAACCCCGGTTAAAATCCCAAGATAATGGCTGAATTTGTCTTTTCCCCATGTGGAATGGATGCTATCATCTTGGCATGTAATTTGCTAAGAATTTGTGTTTGGAAACTATTGGGGAGTCCTTTTGATTTGAAATTTCCTGTACAAACAAAAGCATTAATGCACTTAATGAAAATCTTTGCATGATAAATTAACATCTTAAGAGGAAAAGAAACAAAAGCATGTTATATCAGAAGAAAAAGGATTTATGGTAAACTACTCTTATGAATTGGGCCACACCTGACAATTTAAAATTCTGCATTAGAAGATAACCCTGCATTTCAAGTGTACCTGCCATACCCATCCGAAAAGGAATCCAAACAAACCCAGAGTTTTTTCTCATCTGAAACCTTCCTTAGTATACTAGGACACTACTGAGTTCTTCTAAGCAAGAGTCTGACTAACGTTTTCCTCCCTCCATAGCGTCGCACACCATCTACAGCTCTCCTTAACCAAGGCTGGCCAGGGTAGCAAAGGATTCCCAGCACTCTTACTCCTGTGTCCGTCACCTGCAGGATGAGTTCCTGGTTTTAGACATCAACCGAGCAGGGTTGATTCACCTCAAAGCATTTTTTCAGCCTGGTTTATAGTCTTCAGAGCGATAAGTTTGCAGAAGCTAGACTATAGGAATAATGCAGTTAGTTTTGAGAACTGATTTCACAAAGAGTGGAATTTCACATACCCCAATTTCAGTTTCCAAAGCGATATATTTTTAAAGCACCATTTGTATCCTTATCTGCCAGTTACACAGTATATTACTGTTCAACCCGATAGGGTCTACAATCCCAAGGTGCTTATGCAGCCTGACATTCACAGACCAAACTGGTCCTTCTCGTCGATGTGATTCAGTAAAACCTCGGTTAATGTTTTAGGAAAGAGATTCTGAGTTATTACATTTCTGATTGATAAGGGCTTTTATTAGAAAATTCTTTGGGGTTCAACGCTTATTCAAGGAAACTTTATGAAACCTACTGGTATTTTAGCTTGGCCATAGTCATCATTATGAATAACACAAACCCATAGATAATTTAACTAATTAGATTGACAAATTGTCACAGGAATATGTTAGTAAATACCAAACACCTTCTTAAAATCTCTCAAAAGTAAAGACCAGCTCTAGCATGATAAAATAATCTGTTCCAACCCAGCAGAGAAGCGCTACACAGAAAATAATGGCAACTCCTACTCGCTCTATTGAACTTGCTTGGAAGTCAGAACATAGGACTCACCTGACAATGTGTTGCTCCTTTTTAAAACCTTAAATTATGTGGTTGATTTGTTTACTGGCTCTTGGTGGTTTGAGTCCTCGCTGGGTTGCATTGGTGTTTAAAACATAACCATTTCTTCCAACTTCATAGACAAAATTACCATTTTCATTTTTATACTTTTTGTTTTGAAGTGGTGCTTTCTTTAAATTTTTCTTTGCAATCTTGAAAAGAGAGCAGAGATGGTAAAAGAGCTAGAAAATATACACTAGAGTACCTTTTCTTAGAACCCTTGAATTCTTTTCTTAAAAACATCTCTCCATAAGTCTACCTTCTGCTATAGTATTAGCATAAGAGAACTTGGCTTGGAAATACAGACAATTCACACATTTATGCAGTAAAAATATTAATGGAATTTAAGGCCAGGACCTGGAAAACATTGGCAGCCAAATTGCAACACACAATTTATATTATCTGTTTTAAGAACCCAAATTTCTGATTTTTCTGAATACTTTAACATTTCTACATTATAAAATGATCAAAAAGAATAAAATATTTCTTTTGTTTTGAAATAGTGAAATTCAACCCAATGTAGCATTGAATTCAATGACTATCTCTGAAACTCCCAGGAACTTGCTTTAGAAATACAGCTCAGGGTAGAATGCTTGCCCGCCATGTTCAAAACTCTGGGTTCAATCCTCAACAACACACACACAAATTCACTTGTTCTATAGCAAGAGTTCTCGATAGCAGCGTCATTAGTGCAAGTTTTTGTCTAGCATATTATGGGATGTTAACAGTGCCCTTGACTTCTGCCCTCTAGATGCCATTAGAAACCTGCTAGTAATAACAGTAAAAAGAAAACAATGACAAAATTGTTTCCAGTTGAGAGCTACTATTTTACGTCATTTAAAGAGAAAGACTGTGAAATACATAATGTATTTTTTTACAGAAAATAGTATGCAACAAGAGCACATTCTCCTAGCAAGAGAATTCCCACCCAAAATTATGTGTGATTCATACAATAGAGCTCAATTTTGAAGAATCGGTGAACTAACAATTACAGACTACTTCAAAGCACACAGAGAATATATCAAAAAGGGATATCCACAGTGGTTGATAGACATGCTTAAAATTCTGACTTCAACAAATAAATCAAAAAATTTATAAATAGACATCATTTGGAGTAGGTGCTGTGCCATGCTTAAAAAGAATATGTTCTCGTAAATGTTTAAAGCTTACACGTGCTTACAAAATTGTTTGCCAAACCCTTTCTTAATATAAGAGTAATTTATCCCTCAAATCAATGATTAGCAGAATCTAAATTAATGAGGTTTTACTGTATCAAAATTATTTTTATAATTCAAAGAGATAGCAATAACAATAATTTAACCATGGATGTGATTTTTCTCTTTCAGCTTTTCTGTTCTGTTGCATTAACCTTCACACACACGCACACACACACATCACCACCACTACCACCACCACCATTTTGCCATCATGGCTATCCTAGGGAAATTAGTAGTGTTATACATTTAATCTTCTGCAGTTTCTCATCTCTCTTCCGTCTTGGATAGTAAGGAAAACCATCCTCAGAACTTTAATAGTGCTGCAGAAGGTGACCCTGAGTCTTGGTTACCATCTGATTACATTGTGTCTAAGAAGCAGCATCCGAAGATAAGGCTTGCAAAGCACCCTCTGCACAAGGTGACTTTACCTCCCATCCTTCCTCGACAGAAAAGCCCTTAGTGTTCCAGCAGAAAATGGGCCTTTCATTCTATTCGCCAATAATATCATAGAAGATGTACGTGTTTCCCTGGTTCTCACAGTAACGTAAGCAATGATCCTGTTATGAAACCATCCACTTGTCCTGGGGCTTGGGTGGAGGGTGATCTCACTTATTTCAATCCCCTGAAAAAGTTGTGTTTCTGACTTTGCTTCTATACTTCCCTGAGTTCCCAACTTAGCACTCAGTCACCGTGGGGGCCATTGTGTGTCGTACGAGAGTAACTTCAGTGACAAACTGAGACGGTGTCCAGCAACTCCATCCTAGAAACATTTCTCTAACCCAAAATCTAGGTCTCTAACCTTAAAAAATTTAAAAAGACCTTAAACAATGAGGTTCACTTTTATATGATTCAACAGTACTATTTTAAAGGTATCATTTACTCATTATCTGTGCCAGTTTGAAAAAATAAAAGGTAAGATTAGGCCCAAGATTGGTTGAAAATTAAGGTGGGTTCTTTGAGATACTTAGCTCTCAGGCATTTGGATAGAGTAATAAGATGAAGCTAGCTGGAAAGGAAAACTATTAGGATATTCTTTGCCCTACAAGCGTCCCTGACCACACTGGTTCACAGAGTACAGTGACAAAGAAAGCCAGCATGTCAGATGCAGTCTTACTCTCTGTGTGTTAGGAAAAATACCAGCTTCACAGCTTCTTCACCTCCTGTCTCTCAGCCTCATCTTAGGTGGTAGCATTGTGTATGCACACTAATCAGAGTGCCTGAGATAACTGTCACCAACGTAGGTTGAGCATTGTCTCTCATATGAGAGATTCTAGGAAGCAAGACAGCTAAATCATTTAGTATTCCTATCTACAGGCCGCGTAGCCCTGGATGTAAGAAAAAAGAAAGGTCTCTAGACACTGGGGAGAAGGTGCAGCATGAGGGGGTGGTGTCGGGAAGGCTATGAGAGTCTGAGGGAAGTGAGGTTTTGATTTGACCACAGCACAGGCAAAGGCCTATGTTTGTTTCTTTTTTTGGCTTGTAACTTTGGTTTGTATTTTTTAAGTATAGCTTTGGCTGTACATAACAATCTCTTGAGATTTTTTAATTCCCAATGATTTAAAAATGTCTTAGACTTGGAACAGAACATCAGTATTTTTGAGAGCCCTAAAAGTGGGTCTATGTCCAGCCAAAGTTGCTAAGCACTGTTCTATGACCAACTAAGAAAGATTCTTGCCTTCCTGGGCTGATTATTTAGCCCCTTTTAAGGGTTCAGGAAAGGCAGAATGTAAGAGACACAGCCTTGTCTTGATTGGCATTTATTCTGTGCCTCTCACAGAACAAAAGTGAGCGCGCATTTCTAGCCAGGCAGCGCCACTAATTCTTTGTATCTCTATAATATTATTCTTTGTGACTTGATCTTTAGTTATTTTAAGTCAACATTGTAAGTTTTGACTGTCTTTTACATAAGATACCAGGAATATCACCATAAGTTCAGTGGTACATAAAGCTTAGTGGTAAAATTATTTCTCAATATCTGGACAATGAAAATTCTCAAAATTATCACAAACTACATCAGCTCCAAGTTTATTACGCACCCTTCTTCTGGAGCAGACATAGTGAATGGCCCTGCTCGGCTGTGGGCATCTTACTGAATCTGATCTCAGCAAACAGAGAGGATTGTTTGATTGTTGTCTCAACAGCAGGGCTGCTTGATTTATTGGGAATGTGAGTGCAGGGAAAGTCACCTTCTGAACACCAGGGCCCTGAAAACGTGTTCACACCACGGAGAGGATGGGTCCAGCCAGGGGAAGGCAGCCAATGGAAGGCAAGGACACACAGAAATTGTTCTGACCGCTCTCCCCTTGTACCACGCCCCCTCCTGTCTCGGCCCACCCTTCTCAACTGCAAAGCCAGAAGATACACTAGGTGGTGGTTTGGGATAGTTGTACACAGGTTCAAAATCTCTAATAACCTATAATTTTTAGTACTTAATTATGTGATGTTTTATTCTAGGAAATAAGAGACAGACAACACCATTGATGTATCTTTCTTTCATCTTCAGAATTTTTGCATCTTTTCAAAAAAAATGACAAATTACTATTTTTCTGTTGCATTCAGCAATTGTGACTATACCTAAAATTCTTGTAGTCTGTAGAGATATCAATAAAATTGTATATGTTTGTACATAGATGCTCTCTTATGTCATGATGTCATGTACTGTCAATTTTTGCCAAGATTAAATGTATAGAGGTAAAGCCCTCATTTGCAAACTGTGAACTATGGTTTTACCAAGAATGAATGTTTTTAAAAGACATGGAGGGGATGGGAGAACATATTCATTTGAGCAAAAGAGGAAACAAGATCCAAGTTCCTGAAATATATAAATTCTATTACAGTTAATTGATTGAAAGGGTTAGAAACATCCATTCAAAATTTCTATCAAATTGGTGACATATTGAAAATTTTAGTGAAAATTTTCATTTTAGTGAAAATTTAAAGATAACTTGCAAGGCTATTGACTGAACTGTACTTGTCATGGAATGAAAGTTGGAGGAAATTTATTAATAGTACCCATAAGACACTGCTGTGGTCCAGTGGCTTAAGGGCTCCTTAGGCCTTGACTTCCTTCTTCAGTGCAAGTAGAAAAACAAATTTGTTGTGAGTTTATACTACCATCTAGTGGTCATGGTCAGCATTTTCAGATCCATTTGGGTTTTGCCAACTTAGTTAATTCCCCCTCTGGGATTTTCTTTAGATATATACCGGAGGCCTAAGCCAGCCTACCTCATCCTTCCACGTTCTAATTATCTTAGGGAAATCCATCCTTCACCACAAGCTTTCTCCTACAGTTGGATCTATATAAAATTGAAAAAATAACAGCTAGCCTAGGCTAAAAAGTAATTTTGCGTAAAAGGACAAATATATAGATCCTTTAAGACATAAACACTAATCTCAATTTCAGATTTTCCCCAGAAGGACCAGTTTATCTCATGTCTAATTACAGCGACTCAAGCCCACAGCCCTGCATTCAACACTCTCTTTTGCTTCCTTCCTCCCTCCTTTATCTCTCCTTCCTTCAGTCCCCTTCCTTTCCTGCCAGAGCACAGGAGCAGGCGAGCAGCAGAGGGGCCTCACATACAGGCTGATCTCGCTGGAGCAGGGTGAGAGGAGCAGTCACAGAAAAGCGGAGCTGGGGTGAGGAGGTGGCAGGTGAGACTTAGGTGGACAGTGACTGTGTGATTTGAGGCGGTCTTTGGAGCCGGGCAGAAGACAACCCCTTTGGCTCAGCAGAGTGGCTCAATTCAAGGAATTGAGCATTGAAATAAATTCACTGAGGATATAAGAGCCAAGCTTCCTACTTAATGGAAACTGCAGAAGGGTGTACAATTAAAAGAGAAAACTAGAATAGTTATAAATTTTGGTTTGTATAGGTAACTGAAGTTCATAACTTTTATATTTCAAAATGGGTAAAAGAGAGCATTTTTACCAAGAACAGTAGCCGAGAAATGATCAGCACAGCCTGGTCTCGTCATCCCATAATGCATAAGTGCACAAAACTATCAAAGTATTCCCTATCAATACGTAATTACTATTTATCCATTAAAAATAATAAAACTTCTTAAAGAAAGAAAAGTAGAAAGAACTTGGCCATGTCAATTAGAATTGGAGTTACGAGCGTGCACTTCACTTTTGTGCATAGCTATACAATTGTAACTTTATAAATAGTTATATACATAGATACACTTAAGTATGCATAGATACTGAGGTGTGCGCATGTTGTACAGAAATATTTCCCAATTCCGAACACAGAAAAGACTAGAAAGATGCACAAGTAATGCTGGATTTTGATTTCCAAATTTTCTTCCCCTCTGAATGAGCTCGAGAATCTTGATTTCTAGTCTGGTATATACTCTGTATCAGAAAATAAAATATTCAGAGAAAGATGGCTACATGTCAGAAAGCACAAGACAGCTTGAATGAGTGTGCACAGGCCAAGTGAGGGATACTTTAACCAGGAAACAAGCATAATAATTGAATACAACAGAAACCCATGGATTCATAGTGATATAAATTAATATGAAGGAGAGAAAGTTATTCCTTGCAATATCATGTCTGCCATTAAATGTAAATGGAGTTTGAAAATTGCTGTTAGATAATTATTATTCTAATATTTTGGGGATTAAATATCAGTCAGTGGTCAAACTAATGCGTCCAAGGAGGATGTTGGTATAGGATGATTTACATCATCTCCCAGTGTCTTCAAAGAATTGTCTAATGTTTAAAAACTCACATTCAAAAACATGGCAGATACCATATTTGTTATCGAGGGATCAGAGTCCTCCAACCAGTAATGGGAGAAACCAGTGCCATGTACTGAAAGGAGCACAGCTGCCCTGCCAGAGCACACAAGCCGGGGCTAGCCTGTGGAAGCAGTAGACAGAGCTAAGCCGAGTGACATTCTATAAATGGTTGCCCCCTAAGAACTGCGATGTGATGAAAGACAAGAAAAGACGAATGTTTCAGATCTAGGAGGTCAGAAACCACGACAACTGCATGCAATCCATGATCTGAGACATCTTACCCTAAATGTCATGGCATAAATGGAGCAATTATCAAAACTCGAGTGTGGTTTTCCCACTTGACTACAATTCTTTGTACCATTCTTGAAACTTTTATTTAGATTTGAGCTTATTTCAAAATAAAATTATAGAAACAAAAATATTTTCCATTTTGTTGTATTATTTGCAATTCAGTAGTATTAGCTTGTGTATTTCAGAGCAAATGGATTCCTGTTTATGTTGAAAGAGAGGACTTTGGGAGTTGTTTAGGAATCCAGTCACTGAAATAATTTAATTTTTTTTTCATTTTCACTGTGCCTCTGCCTCTCTGTTGCTAGGAGTAAAGCCACTACCATGCTATTGTTATCTTAATGGCTGCAGCTCTGACTAGGAGGAGATGTAGTTTTAATTTGTCCTAAACTGCCATTTCTCTACCGTCTAGTGGGGCTGAACGTTTTCATATGATTGTTACTATTTGAATGTAATCTTTGGGGAACTTCCTGGTCATTCCGTTAGCACCTTTATTGGTAGAGTGGATTGGTTTCTAGTCTCTCTATTGGAGTTCTTTCACTCTTCCAGACATCAGCCCTCCGTAGACGATGATGTGTGCTATTTCTCTGATTTGAAGCCACCCCTCCCAGCCGAGGGCAGAAGGCTCAGAACACTTAGGGAGTAAGAGGAATTTCCCAGCCTCAGGAAGTTCCTGAAAGCTGTGAGACTCCTCCCCGAGGCCAAGGGTTGACAAGCTGGAGCAGTTGCTAAGGAGGAGATGTGTTGACCAGTTGAGCTACCTGCAAGTTGTTCAGGGAACTCCAGGCTTCCGAGCTCACTGTCCTGGACTTTCCACGATGCGGCTGCCTCTGAGTCAGTCAAGCTGCTGTAAGTGACCCCCTGCTGATCAGTAAGCTGGACATGGGCACAGCCATTCCTCTCTGTGTGCCACCAGTGCCCTATCTTTGGTAAATCGATATTTATTCAGACAGTCAACAGAGCATGTTGCGGTGGTTTGAATGAAAATTTTTCCTAGAGTCTTAGCTACTACTCCAGAGTCATACATGTGGCACCATGCTCCCATCCACAATGGCAATGGACCAAACCTTTGAAACTGTAAGTAAGGCCCCAATTAAATGTTTTTGCCTTGGCCGTGGTGTCTTTTCACAGCAATAGAATAGTGACTAAGACAATGTGTATAACTGAAAAATTTTCTCCCAAACTGTGATCTATCACAGTTTTTTTTTTAATTTGCTAACTGTGTGCATCACTATGGAGAAGCTTTTGTATCCTGTGTCATCCTCCTTGTTGTGTGTAGACAGTGACTAGACTCCTCTTCATAAAATCCTTGTCTGCACATAGAGCTTGAAACATTTCCTCTTCCTTTAACAATGTCAGAGATTCAGATTTTACATTAATGTCTTTGATTTTAAATTGCCCTCTTTTCCCATTTATCTATTTTATGTGTATGAGTGTTTTGCCTGTGCGTGCATGCATGAGCATGTGTGTGTGTGTCTATGTACGTGTATCTGCATGCCCATGGATAGTTGAGAGCCACCATGTAGGTGCTGGGAACTGATCCTGTGCCCTCTGCAAGAAACTCAAGGGCTCTTAATGACTGAACCATCTCTCCAAATCCAAGAAATGGCTTTTATAGAGGATGAGAATATGGGGTTTAATTTCATTCTTCTACATGTAGACATACAATTTTCCAGCACCATTTGTTAAAGAGACTGGTTTTGTTTGTTTGTTTGTTTCTCCAATGTATAGTTTTTTCACCTTCATTGATCTTCTTATACTAAGACTTGGGGAGATGGTTCAGTGGTTAAGAGCACAGGCAGCTCTTCCAGAGGTCCTGAGTTCGATTCTCAGCAAGCACATAGTGGCTCACAACCATGTGTAATGAGATCTAGTGCCCTCTTCTGTCATGCAGACACACATGCAGGCAGAACACTGTATGTAATAAATAAAACTTTAAAGAAAAAGACTTGGCCTATATCATTAGTACATAATCTATTTTATAGCTGCTGAAAAGAATGTGCTTCCTCCAGTGTTTGGTAAGCATGTCCTGTAGTCTGTTAGGTCCATGTGACATAGAATGTCATTTAACTCAGATATCTCTGGTTTTGTCGGCTGATGTGTCGATCAATAAGAGCAATGTGCTGGAGTCACCCACCGTTATTGTGTTAGGGTTGCTCTGCATCTTTGCTTTTCGTTATATTTGTTTTATGAAATTAGTTGTAACTGTTTTGTTGTATTTATGTCCGAAGGATTAGCTCACTTTACTTGCTTGAACTACCTTAATAGTCATAAATTCTTTTGACCATTTTTATTGTAAAGTTTCTCTTCTATGACAGTTAATTCTGCTTGGTATAGTGGCCTTGTCTGGTGGTTGTGGTCATTCAGAGTTTAAATCACTTCCAAGCCCTTCTGGATTTTATAATTTCTGTTGAGAAGTCAGCTGAGATTCAGATAAGTCTGCCTGTCCTTGTGACACGGTGCTTCTCTCTTGAGAAGTCTGCTGTGATTTGGATGGGCCTGCCTGTCTGTGTGACATGGTGCTCTGCCTGTCTGTGTGACATGGTGTTCTGCCTGTCTGTGTGACATGGTTCTCTGCCTGTCTGTGTGACATGGTGCTCTGCCTGTCTGTGTGACACGGTGTTTCTCTCTTGAGAGGTCAGCTGAGAATCAGATGGCTCCGCCTG